TGAAGCAAGGCTGTGTCTGAGCTCCTGCCCCGTTTAATATATATATTCGTGCAAGGTTGTCTTGTGCTTTTGATGCCGCTTGTGCTTACGGTGTTCGTTTGGAGCACCGTATTGATAGTGGGTTGCTGAATATCCGTCGTTTCGGTGCGAGAACTCTAATCTGTGAGACAACTATCCGTATGTTGCTGTTTGCTGACGACTGTGCGTTGTTTTTACACAGCGCGAATGAGTTGCAACATATGACTAGTGCTCTGGCTACCACAGCGGCAAAAATTGGGGCACACCGTCAACACATGCATAACTCTCTGTCTCTTTTAGCCTTCATCGGAGGTGCAAGCTTCAGTACTGCGGCGAATCAGCATTGGTACTGAAGTATTAGGAACCACCTCCCGCTTCTGCTACCTTGGGAGTGTGATGTCGACTGATCAGCAGCTCCACAGTGAGCAGCGTATTCGCGTGTCGTGGGCAGCGGCGGCATTCGGGAAGCTTGAGTACCGAGTGTGGAACAACCATCAGATTAGCATTGGCACGAAGCTGATGGTGTACAAATCCATGGTGCTGTCCGTTCTTCTATACGCCAGTGAAACGTGGACGATGTACCGTCGGGATGTGCGATATCTCGTGCGGTTCCAGCAATATTGCTTGCGACGGATTTTGCGGATCGGTTGGGACGACAGAGTTGCAGACAGGGAAGTGCTGCGCCGAAGTCAGATGTATGCAGTGAATTGCATACTTTTATTGAGACACCTGAGGTGGCTGGGTCATGTGAGCAGTATGGATTCGACGCGCATACCGAAGCAGCTATTATATGGTCAGCTGAGTTTTGGGAAGCGACACGTGGAGAAACCAAAGTAACGTTACCAGGACCTGAATGAAGTGGGCCTCACACGTTCTAATCTTGATTGCAGATCATGGGAATCGAAGGCGGTTGCTCGGCGTGCTTGGCGCGATCTGATCACGAAGGCAGTTGCCGAGGTGCAGGAGAAAGCCCTTATGCATGCAGAGAAGAAGCGGCAAGTGCGGAAGCGGCAAGCGCCGATGGGTTGTTCTCCATCGACATCGATCGCATGGTACTGTTGAACATGCGGTCGCGAGTGCCTTAGTCAGGCAGGCATAGTGAGTCATGAACGAGGCCACCCGGGACCACTACCGAAGCGACGACGGGTCCTGCAGAGAAGGTGGACAGAACCGGTGCAGCGTTTGTAGGTACGGTGCTTTCCATTTGCTAACCGCGTGTTTGCATGCTAAGTCTCTTTATTTCAGGTGGTGGGTTTTCAATTTTGCCCTAATGCCTTTCTTTCTCATATAAATGTCTACCTGTACTCTATTCCATTAATTTGCACATCTCGCTTAAGCCAATTGTTTTCGATTTCCATAACATTTTCGTGTTCGTGGCATTGCCATAAAGTATACTTTCTGTTCTCGTCAACTTATCTAGCGTTCGTTTGTAAACAACGTATTACATATGCTCATAAACTTAAGGTTTATGTCACCGTTTCCTTATGCATTAATCGAGATATTTTCTTTGTATCTCTCTCTCTGACGTGATTGGCTGTTGTCTGATATCCCCGGTGTGGCTGCGCATGATGTGCATGTTGACAAGGTGACTACCTGTCTATTACCCACTACCTCGTCCATACTGGCTCCAGGAGACAGTTGGTCGTTGCTGGAGGGGACGGGGTGCACGATCCTTGTGGTCGTGCTAGGATCGAAGAGTGGTTCCATGCAATCAGTGTGGAGTGGACTACGGTCCAGCCACCGCCTTGTGTGCACTTGATTCCCCAAATAGAGCGTGCTTGTGTTTGCCTGTGAAGGCGTGTGGGCCGGCTCCGTTGATGAAACGTGGTTCCCATCTGCGTGCCTCCCGGTCTTATTAATTCGAGTTTACACTGGATATGAGGTGTGTGGGTGGAGCTGTGGGGGGTGCAGCGCAAGCCATCCATGGTCCCTCTGTAGGCGCAGGCGTCCTGTGGCTGGTCACAGTGACAGGCTAATCCGAAAACGGATGCCGCCAACCATGTTTTAATAACATAATCTTTTAAATTAAAGAGAGATAAATTTTATTTTTGACCACGCTATTCGTTATTTGTTATAACCATTTACGAATTGCGCTTGTTTGCCTTCCCAGCGATTTTTGGAGCCTTCCTTTTTCGGTTAGTAAATTTTGAATCTCCATGCAGTTTCCATACCTTCTCTCTATACTCATCATTGTTTCCTTTAAGAATGAGCTACCATTTATCAACGAGTAATATAACAACACATTTAAATTTCTTGTTTTATTTTGTTATTATTTATTACCTTAGGTCCGTTGCGATCGTGTGACAGTGTTAGGATGAGATGGTGCGTGATTTCATCTCAGACTACTTCAACAAGCACAAGTTCAATATTGATTAGATTCCGACATGCGTTGGTATGTAATGTAGGTTTAGCAGACGATTTGCTCATACTGCTTCTGACAGGGTACCCTTGTCAAAATTTCTAAACCCGTATGTATCGGCTAATCGACCAAGATGGCATCTAAGTAGCATTATACTTACGTAATGCGAAGGTGGTCGTCCAAACCGCCAAAATGCACACGCGTTACAATCGCCGTGTGCATCACTGTTTTTGCCTCTCCCCGTGGCAAAGGAAGATAAACTATGGAATATGTGTGTGATTTACTGTCCCCGGGAAGTAGGTCACACTGATGGCGTGTTTTTACTATTCATGCAAGCATTTTTAATCAAAGCTTATTCTGACGATGGTCTCTACGCAAGCATTCAATTCTTAATTCGTACTAGCATCAGTCAGCCAAGCACTTAATATACTCACAGCTTTGACACTGCTAATTCATCATTTCCTCAACTTGCCATTAGGAACTAACATAAATGAGACATATATCATTTCTTAATATTACAATGTTCACCTCGACTACTTTCTGAAACCTATTAGGCGACTACAATTTTAACTTGAAATCTGGCCATTCATTTTCAGTTGCTATTCGACTGGATGACATTGAAAATATTGTAAGCGCCTCGGTAGCATACGGCCTACCCTAACTTTCGTACTGGTAGACACATTGTAGCTTAATGCCATAGCTCATGCTAATACCCCTGAGTTTAGTACGTAACAAACTGATTCTTGGTAGTCTTTTTTCCAAATTCTCCATCGTAATTTAAAGACAATGAAACTAATTAGTCATACTTTCTGCTAGTTTCAAGGCACCCTGTTTAACAATCAGCTTTCACCAATTTTGCATTTAAATTACATGTAAACTAGTATACATCGCGAGTTGGTGAGACTATTAACTTGTTTACTCCAATCCCAGCTTATCCAATGGATTACGCCTGCAACATGCATTTCTTCACGTAACCGACTAACAAGCCTTGAGTAGGCGGACGACATAGTTCAACTTGTGTCTGACGCAATGGATATGCAAGCAGTTGTGGAAGGCCTGGTGAGCGGTGCTTTACGCATTTTCTTCGGCATGTGCTTTTTATCTGCAGAGTGTAAAGTAATGCTGCAAGACCGGAACAATACAACGCCGGTTTTGGCTCCCACCGAACAGTTGCTGGAAGTGGTAAATCGGTTCATTACCTTGGTAGCTGTGTCATCTCTGGTAGTTACCTCAATGAGGAAGTTAGTTGGCTTACCAGCAAAACTCCTGTGACATTCTGGTGGCTCGAGCATGTATGCAGAAGGCGAAACATCAGCTAACCATTGAAAGGTAGGATGTATAACGCTGCGATAACACCAGGGTTACTGTACAGATCAGACACCTGAAAATTCCTCAGCGAAGACAATGAACGGTTGTTGGCGTTTGAACACCGTTGGGAACACCATGTGAGCACTTCTTAGGTTCTCCAGTCGGTTTCAGCAAGAAGCCTTCTGGTGCCACACACTAATGTTTGCTTAAGCTCCACCGCTTAATTGACTAGGCCATGTCCTCCGAATGCTCGCCTGACGAATTTCGGCGACACGTAATATTCGAGTACCTTGTCAAATCGGTAGAAACCTCCAGGTAAACAATCGATGATGTGGCATAACGGCTTAAAGGAACTAACCGCGATAATTTTCAGGCTGATGCGTGCCATCTTCTTTAAAGGGGCTCCAGGATGGTCCACAAAATAGTTGGAGACTTATTTAGATAGATGCAGTCAGTAACAATGCTGCATTTTATTTCTCGCATCCAGTTTTCACTATCCTTCCGTCCTGATTAGTCCAACGGATTATCCACTTGATACTGCTATTTTTATATGCGGTTCGCATCGAATCGTAATTTGGTGCCGCTGTTACTGATTGTATTTCTGTCGACGTGAGTTGTGCTACCTAGATCCAATGCACTATGGTGCCCGGATCATAGTTGTTTAAGATAACTGATAGGACGCATGAAACGGATGTGGTGAAACGGCTACATCTGAGACATTCGGTCTCAGTTATTCCAATCAATGTCGACCGCAGTGTGTGTTTTGAGCTCCAACACAACTGGTTACCTCAGTTATTGTGCTCTTAAAGTGAACCATTTTGCGTACCATAACGCCCACGTTGTCATAAAATATTCCTCAGAATATCACCACAAATGTTGTTTCGAAATAGCTGTGGGGGACACGGTTTTGAACCATTAAACTCCAGCTGATCCATTTCGAAAAGCATCACAATTTTGCTACTAGATAAATTTGGAAACGAACTGCTCCTGAATGAAGCCAAACAACTGGCTGAGTGTACGTTGTGTTTCCCTCTTTTGCTGCAGCGGAATTGATTTTTAACCAGGCAGCAGGCAGAAAACGTGCGTACTTTCATTGTTTACCTAAGCCAAATCGGGCGCACCATCAGTCTTACTGATTGCTACAGTAGGGAGTTACATTTCACAGATTTCGTAATGCACTCTGCAGGTGTACATTGGAAGAAAGTTTTCGTTGGATCAGTTGCCCGCGGTTAGGAACCAATCCGCTTTCAACCCACCAATGTGATCCCAACGAAACGTGCAACAGACAATAAACTAATCACCTTTAATGTACAACAAGGGAAAGACTGCAATAAATGCCTTTCATTCACCTAAACAAATACGATTTTCCAAAATCATTGTATCAAGCAAACCATCCAGGAGTACTGTATCCCAGCATATGCGTAAAAAAGAAATGGCTGCTAAAGATTTGGATTTTGGTCCTTGGGAGGATGGTACGTTAAATGAAAGGTTGACTCCATATCAATGCTTTAAAGGGAGCACTGAATGCGTGAAATTCTCATTGGGGTAAGTTAAACTACCAAAAGCCATGTGATGCCGACACATATGTTTTGAATTCTACTGGTTAAGGAGAAATCCTATCATCAGTCTAGTTAACCCCATTAATTTATTCCTTGTTGCTTGCCTGCCTCACTTGAGACAAAACATGAAATCTCACTAACTCAGCACCGCTACTTAAACGTTTCTGTTCAATAAAGCAGAGGTCACCTATTCCCATGTCATGATCGAATGTCAAGCTACAGCGAAATTTTACAAGATCGAAATAAGTGAAAGATGGCAGATAGGGGCTACTTAAAATTGTTAACCATTAACTGGATCCGAGGGTGACGATAATCAACAATAAGCTTGAATACTCTAACTTGTTGCGTGTATGTAAGAAAAAGGGCCAGTTCCTTCAATGATGTTGCAGGCATTTCTCATAAACAAACGCCAAAATGAATGACGGTAAGCGATGTATGTCTGCAAGGCCAAACCCGATCCCGAAACCTCGGGACCTTTCGTAACTCAGTATAATCATTGTACCACTCCTTGTTGTGAGGATAGAACTAATTATCGGTACTACTAAAACAAAGAGTTCTAGGAAATCATGTCAACAATGAACGTAACGTAAAGTAAAGCAATCCAAATATTCTCAAGGTGACGGCCAAACTACCAAAGCCACAGCAGAGCCAAATTTTGAACGTGCAGCCCATTTGTGCAACATGCCACTATCCAGCTTGTTGAGTTCAAGAATTACATACGTACAGGGTGGTTCATTAATTACTTTTGAAACTAGTAGCGGCTGCGCCCAAGCGCTGAGGTACCACGGCTCGCCGAATTGCCAAATGTCCAATAGCGCAAATTGCTATGCCAAGCGTGTCGGCAGGGTTGAGATGGAATACAGAGACAGGACCTGTGTGTTTAAAATCGCAGATCCCACTAAGGGAACCGAGCCGTTCGGCTGTGATAGGTGAATGCTGGCCGAATAGCGAAGACGCACTGGAGATGTGATGCCCCGACCGCAGAGCACACCAAGAAAACCGAGCCGTTAAACTGTGAGAAGTGAGGGCAAACCAAACAGCGATGCCGCACTGGACACACCATACTTCGATCGGTTGGTAGTCGGCTTTCATGCAGGTGAAAATGCCAGCAAAATGGATCGCTACAAAATGGCTGGTAGCTCGCTGTTCCCTCAGTTGAGAACAGCCTGGTCCTAGGCAATGATCGATGGGCGCCGGTTGCTACCCCAATACATGGCAAAAGACATTCGCAAAAAAGCTGTTATAGCTCCATGACTGGCTTCTAGCAAACCCGAAATCTTTTATTAGACTGCTTTTTCTGCTAAGCGAAATCACAATGCCCCGAGCAGATTCTAAGATATAAGTCTTCGTTTTACCGTGTCGATAGCGTGTATGCTACAGCTGAAAATTCACAGTACTAATATCTGACATTTATTAGTAGCCTCGTACATGAAAGTGTTGCAGACCAGCGCCATTCCATAACTACAGTTTTAAGGATTACTGAATAGAGTTTGGTGGCAGAAGGATGGCGAACCTGCATATTCGGCGCAGTTGGTTCTTACCTATATAAACAAAACTTTCAGTGAACATTGGATCGGTCTTGGAGGACCGATAGAGTGGCTTGCGCGGTCACTGAATCTTAATCGCATGGATTTTTCCCTATGAGGAGATTTGCAGAGCAGCGTTTATAGAACAAAACCCAATAGCCCTCATGAACTGAAAGAGAACGTTGTGCGCGAATGTAGCCAGACTTGGTTGGAGACATTGCAGAATGTGCTCGCCGACACCATCCGGCGAATGCCGCTCTGCAGACAGAAGGACATAGGGCAATTCGAAAAGCTAAATCGTAGACAAGTACAGACATTTTGTACATTTCATGTAAATAGAATTAAATGACGGGATAAATGAGTATTCCGGATTGGACACGAGAAACGCCATCGAAGGCATGATCGATTTCAACAAAACATTCGCCCGACTGTGAAGTCAATAGTAGCAGTTGCGACTAAATTGTTACGCTGTCTAATGGTGCCACTAGTGCGTCGAGGCAGACTGAAATCTAAGAGCATTTTTAAGTCAAGTCAATTTTCTGCTTTGATCCACCTACGAAGCTTGAATATTCAGCTGCAGCACACACGTGATCGACACGGTTACAAGAAACCAGACTGTAATCTTGGAAAGTGTTCCTGTTATTATGATTTCCCTTAGCAGAAAAAGCAGTATAATGAAAGATTTCGGGTTTGCTAGAAGCCATTCATGAGGCTATAACAGCGTTTTCGCGAATGTCTTTTGCCATGTATAGGGGTAGCAACCGGCGCCCATCGGTCATTGCGTAGGGCCAGGCTGTTTTTCGCAATTGAGGGAACAGCGAGCCAACAGTCGTTTTGTAGTGATCCATTTTGCTGGCATTTTCACCTGCATGAAAGCCGACTACCAACCGATCGAAGTATGGTGTGTCCAGCGCGACATCGCTGTTCGGCTAACACTCAACTCTCACCGCCGAACGACTCGGTTTCTTTGGTGTGACCAGCGATTTTATACAGACAGGTCCGGCCTCTGTGTTCCATATCACCCCTGCCGACACGTTTGACATAGCAATTTGCCTCATTGAACATTTGGCAATTCGGCGAGCCGTGGTACCTCAGCACTTGGGCGTAACCGCTCCTAGTTTCAAGCGTAATTAACAAAAACCCTATAGTCTTAAATCCAATGCTCGTACTACAGTAGTTGTCTTTACTGTATACTGGTAGTTTACCGGTAGTCAGATGCTCTCTGTTGAAGACATTGGAATTTTTAACTATAAAGTTAAACAGATCCGCTGTCGTGCTGCTTCCATAATGGCTTGGAAGAGGCAAACGCTTTGACGACATGGATTCACAATAACTTTACCTTTTTTAATGAATTGCTTTACTCAGCCTGCTGTACATCGGTGAGTGGATTGTCTGCTTGTGCTTTTAAAATTGCGGGTAGCAGTAAGGGAGCTACTGGATATTTTTGAATATTCATCACATTTTGACTCAGGCAGTTGGCCACCATACATTCGGGAAAGCGCTGGACAGGCGGTCTGTCTTTCCGGGACATGTCAGATACTCGAACTCACCGAACCCTTCCGGATTCGAAGCCGGTAGGATTCAGCCGGTGCGTGCTTCTGACGTGTCCCAATAGAGGGATGCGGCCGTCCAGCACTTGAATGTAGGGTGGCTGTCTGCTTGAATCTAAATGTGTCAAATCTTCTAACATACCACTGTTTCCCCATGCTACTTACGAATAATCCGTATTCGCCTCAGATTCATACGTGCCACCTTCATTAGTGGTCTTACGCAAAGGAACTTGTGGCTCTGGGGAAAGCGATCTCCACTTCACGTTCACAATATGCGTGACAGTAGAGGCAGAGCCACGCTGTATCATAGCTAGATATCAGTCACGGCAGTCTGCTGCCTGCGTCCATGGCACAGCGGCATATGTCGCTGGCTCGCAACAGTAAGGTGGCAGTTTCAAATCCGGCAGGATTTGCCGGGTGCGCACTATTGAGGAGTTCCAATAGAACAACAGGACTGTAAAGAAGTTTCCTAGATGGGTTGTGATTGTCTGCCTTAGCCTTACCACGAAAAGCTTAAAAAAGGTGCGGGAAGCAGATTACGCCGATACTTGAAGGGACAACCCGAAAACACACAACTTGTCACCGGGACAGTAAAAATTTTCTCGCAATACAAACCTACTGGTAGTGCAAGGTAGTAAAACGCAAGCTCCGATGTCAGCGAAAAAATAGCAATCATTCACATGGAACCCCCATAGCCCCTAAAGATTACGTCACTACATATTGCCTCAAAGATTAAAGAGAAACGAAATCTATAAATATAACGCCGGAAACATTAGCAAGTAAGTTGGAAAATAGTGTATACGGTCAGTCTGATGGAAGAAGGCCGATTAGCGTTCATTTACCTACCGTGGCTCCCTTATGGTGAACGCCGGTCATTTACGGTTGTTGTCCCCAACATCCAATAGCCATCCAATGTTTAGCGAAATTCGCAACATGCTACTGCGCATACATAGACATGAATTTCTCTCTCACCTTAGTGGTGCGGACGTATGGAATTCTCGGCAGACGAGTGATTTAGTGCAGGGCTCAGCTGAGAAAAAGCCTAACCTCTAAAGACACATCGACATGAGGCTGTTGGTCTTCAGGCGAGATGACTACAGACAACCACAACGTGTTTCCAGCGTTCGCTATCTGTCGGCTAACTTCGCGCTGAGTGCTGAAGGTCATGGTCAGCCGTAGGCGTTGGAGCGACCGATGGATATCACTGTGTATCTGGCTGGCTACGCAGCGGTCCGCCTAAGCAAACAAAACTGTCATGTGAATGTGCGCACGTGATGGCAGCTGAGGTGAAGCCGAGGTTAGGCGTTGCAACTCTTGTCAATATTATTGAATCACAGGTAATGGAGCACGAGCAGACAATGCATTCGGGATCACGTAACGTTCCTGTTACAGCGCGCGCTGATTATTCGGCTGTACGGTGAATGCGGTTTAAACGCCGCATCAGCTTCAAGAAAATACAATGCAATGAACGCAGGAACGCGTCCCCTCACCGCCCGGTACGTGCTTAAACTAGTGAAGGAGTTCGAGCAAACTGGGATTGTAACATGCAGAAAACCGGACCGCCTCGCCTCACCACGAACGACTGTTTAGCTTGTGCTATAGTCAGTGAAGTGCCAAAAGTCCCGATCTCAGCATCCGTCGGATCGCACAACACTGTAACACGACCCGATGTGCGGTACACCGGATATTACTGGGACGAAAAATTCGGAGAATCCGTGCACTTCAAGTGCAGGTTTTGAACCCATGCGATCCGGAGAAGCAGCATGAATTTTGCCGCTGGTTTCTGGATCGCGGGGATATTCGTTCTGTTATCTTTACAGATGAGACATTGTTTCATCTGCATGGAACAATGAAACATTACTGTTTGGCTACCAGCAACCCACGAAAATTTACCGCATCACGTATGTACC